GTCTGACTTCCTGTCCCGTGATGCTGATCCTTCGTCTCACTTCCTGTCCTGTGATGCTGACCCTTCATCTCACATCCTGTCTGTGATGCTGACCCTTCGTCTCACTTCCTGTCCCGTGATGCTGACCCTTCGTCTCACTTCCTGTCTGTGATGCTGACCCTTCGTCTCACTTCCTGTCTGTGATGCTGACCCTTCGTCTCACTTCCTGTCTGTGATGCTGACCCTTCGTCTCACTTCCTGTCTGTGATGCTGACCCTTCGTCTCACTTCCTGTCCGTGATGCTGACCCGTCGTCTCACTTCCTGTCTGGCAGCGGCTGGCGGGCTGGACGTCCTGCGATACTCTTCCTCTGAGCTGAGCGACGGCCTCTTCCTCTTCATCAGGGAGGCGAAGCTTCGTGAGGAAGACTCCGGCTCTCCAGACGGCCTGTTCTTCCTCTGCCTCAGCATCCAGCAGGTATTCTCCTCTCCGCTCTGTTTTCACCTCCATCCTCAAATCCTTGAGTTTAATTCAGAGTTTTCAGGTTTGGAAACTGATTTTCTGTATAAAGTGTTTCATATTCAAACAGCAGTTTAATAATAAAATGAATTTACTTTTATGTTCTACTGATCAGTTTAAGACAAACTGTTTGGAACATTAAAAAAAACTAAATGCTAAACTAATAAAACAAACTTTAACCTCAGACTGTCATCATTTATGGTTGGAAATGTTTTTGTTCTTGTTTTTTGCAGTATTTGTTTGAAAACGGACGTCTGGAGAACATTTTCACCGACCAGAACTACCAGAAGTTCTCGTCTGAGCTCACCAGGATCCTGAAATGTTCCCGACCTTCACCGTCCGTCCACCGTAAGTCGTGTTCCTCCATCTCTGTTCCTCCATCTTTGTTCCTGCAGCTCCTTCCTCCGCAGGCGGCGCCCCCTGCTGGGTGGAGGAGGAGTTTCTGTGGCAGTGCAAGCAGCTGGGGACGTCGTCCCCCATCGTCCTCCTCAACACGCTGCTCTTCTTCTGCTGTAAGAACTTCGGCTTCACCTCGGTGGCGCAGCACCGCCGGCTGTCCTTCGCTAACTTCACCAGCGGAACCAGAACCGACGGCGAGACCAAGGTCCTGCGGTTCGACCCGCCGGAGTCCAGGGACGATGCTGAGACCGGTACCGATGAATACACTTCAATGATTAATCGCATTTCATTGGTTTATTGAATTTGATTGATTTGTTAAATGTAATTGATTTTTTGATAAACATTTCATTAATTTGAATTAATGGAATTTTATTCAATTAATCAATAAAATTATTAAATTTTATTTACTGAATTTGACCAATGATTCAATAGTATTAATTCAATATTTGAGATTTACAGAATTTTATCAATTATTTGAATTTTATTGATTAATCAGATTTCATCAATATTTAGAAAAGAGCAAAAATTGACTAAATTTGGCACAAAAATCAAAAATGTAATTTTTCAGTAATATTTCAGGAAAAATGGAAACTTTTTCTGTGTATGTTGTTGTTTTTCTGTTCTTCAGGTTCTGGCGGCGTCCCGGCGAAGAAACGCAGGTTAAACCAGAATTTCCTGGAGATGCAGGAGAACCTGGAGAACCCGCTGCGCTGTCCGGTCCGGCTCTACGAGTTCTACCTGTCCAAGTGGTGAGAACGTCCCCGCGCGATTGGACCCGCCAGCCGACCTCCCATCAGTTCAGAGAAACCGGAAACGTTTTCTTTATATTCTCATTTATTGAAATTAATCTGCATCAATATTCAGTGAAGTTTCAGTTAGTTTTCCGTTTTCTGCCTTTATGTTTTGTAGAAACTTTAATCCTCTGCTGCAGAAAACCAAACACATGAATAAGTTGCGGGAAAATTTAGAAAATAAATGTATTTTTTTATTTTTGAGTCTGTATCGTCACATGGTGTCTCTCAGTTAAAGATAAAAAAAGTTAATTGTGTTAATTCTGTGTTGCCATCTGCTGTTCAGGAGGAGAACTGCGGTGCCTGCAAACCAAATCCTGCTTTTGACTATAATTTATCCAGTGATTAAATTTACTGGACTAAAAACATCAAACAGCAATTTATTTTAGTTTAAATCGATTCTTTCATCTTTTGTATTTTCAGACATCTGGACTGAAAAAAGTAGCAGCTTTATAGATCTGAGTTTCTACTTCTTTCTGCTCCTTTTCATTCAGGTTTTATTTTAGTTTTTATGTGAACTATCAATATTTATTGATTAGTGGATCTAAACGTATTAAATGCATCCAAACCAAAAGCTTTAACTATTTTAGTTGATTTTAGTCAGTAAACTAAAATATTCTGTGATGCAGGAATGGGGATCAGTTTGTGTTTCCTGCAGCACCAGTTTCCTCTCTTATTTGTTAGATTTAAGGTTGAATAAAAGCGTTCCTGCTGGCTGTCTCCTGTTTTCCAGCTCCGACTCGGTGAGGCGGCGCAGCGACGTTTTCTACCTGCAGCCGAACCGCCGCTGCCTTCCCAGCAGCCCCCTGTGGTTCTCGCTGGCGCCGCTGGACGACGCCACCATGGAGGCCGCCGTCGTTCGATCGCTCGCCGTCAGAGAGCTGACGGAGCGAGACGGAGGAGGAGCCTGAGGGAACCAGCGGATCAGAACCGGCCAGCCGGAACCAGGAGTTGATTTTCTGATGTGGTTTGGGAAAAATGTTTAAATGAGAGAAAACTGTTTCATTTCTTCCGTCAGAAACTTCTGTTCATCTTTTCTACACAGCAACTCAACTGGATGTTTTTGGATTAAAAATCATTTCTATTATTTTTACATAATATTGCTGAAACAGCAAAATTAGTCTGAATTACAGTTGCAGTCGTTCTAAACTGGATCTTTTGTTTGTTTTTGTCCCATTTGACTCAGTTAAATCATTTCATTAATAAAATCTTTGAAAGTTACTGAAGAATTAACACGTTTGCCTTCATTTTGATCATTTCCTACAAAGGAAGACAAACATTTCCTCCTCACGTTTGCACAAAGTTGGAAAATAAAACATTTTTTCCACCAGATATAAAAAATCTGAGCCAAATTTTGCCTCTTTTATAAATTTCTCAACATTAAGAATGACATATATATGCTTTCATTCATTGACTGAAAGGCTGGTTAAAGTGATTGTTGCTCCTTTACAATCAAAAATTTCATGAATGTTTAAAATTTGAAGTTGTTCCTGTTTTTATTTCCAGACTCAGATTCTTCAGAAAATCTGATCAATTTGTTTTAAATTCAAACATGAAGGAATCAAATTTACTCTCATTTGGCAGAAAGTCAAAAATAAATAAATGTGGAAGTGAAATATCTGCATTTTTCTTTCCCACCAATGATGTCCAGAATTTGTCTCGGGTCCAAGAAGTAAAACAAAACATGATAAATATTTATATCATATTTAGTTTTTATTTAAAATGACTCTCTTGTCTTGATCCGGTTTTTCTCTTCTGCGCGGCGCCGCAGTCTTTGTCGTCCCTGTTGTTCATCCCTCCATCCGCACACGGTTCCCCCCGCCGGGTTCTCTGCTGTCCAGTTATCCGGCTCATTTTTCTGCTGGTATCTTTGTTAAATTCGACACAATTATAAATAAATAAAAATTTCAAGCAAAGAAGATTTACTTGTAAAATTCCATTCATGCTAATATAATTCAAAGTATTTCACAGGAAAAAAAAAACCCTGAAATTATTTTACAAAAAGGTAACAGTTCAGACCATATTTAAAATATTGAGGAATATTTTAAAAAAGCCACAAAAGTCCAGTGACTTTAAAGGACTTTTAAGGACCTTTAAAGGTCCTCCACTTGCAGATTGTTTTTTGTACAGCTGATTTTAAACGACGCCTCCAGTTTCATGAGCTGCTGTCAATATTCATCTCTAAAATCCCCAGAGAGATTTTTATTCTCACCACGCTGCCAGAAGAACCAAAATACACACCACAGGTTCAAAACAGGACAAAACTCCTCCGTAATTCTCAGGAATGATGATGTAATCATGAAGTCCTGATGTGGATCACCTTGTGTGCAATAAATAAAAATATTACATAATTTCCGCAGGGGAAATGCCAGCGCAACAGCAGAAAAGTGACAAACAGCCAAAGCAAATAGACTCACATGAAGAGAAGAATCCAAATTTTTAAAAACAGCATTAAGAATAAAAAATTGCAAGATGAGAGTAAAACTACAACATAAAATACCCTGCAGTTACAGAGAGGCGAGCAACCGGTTAGGATCATAATAAAAGTTATTCTAATCTTGTGTGAATGTTTATTTGTGGGTTAAATGAGGCCAACAAAGAGGACAGGGGTTAAAGGTCAAGCGCAAAATATGAAACTATCATGGGAGGAAACTGGAAGTAGAGAGAAATAATGAACTCACAGTTTGATCTGCTGATATTAAATAATGTTGCAGTTGGTTGATTATTGGTGTGTTTGGTTTTCCATAGGTTTTTCTATTTAGTTTGTTTTCCAGTGTTTCTTAGTGATTCCAGTTATGTTTCTTGTTTCTGGTTATTTCTCATGTTTCTCAGTCCCAGTTATTCTCTGATTATTCTCTCTCCTCCTGCCCAGCAGATCATGTCTTTGTGCAGATCTCAGGATACAAGCCTCTCATTTTCCTTCACAACTCTGAATTTTCACTTCTGCTCTCTTCAGTCCGTTGTGCCTCCTGGATGGAAGGTTTTAGTTTTGTTATTTAAGGATGGTTTGTGTATTTTTCTAGCATGTTGGGAAGAGAAGCTGAAATGTGACTTTACGTTTTTAGAAGCAGATTCTCTCTTGTTTTGTCATAATGACCAATAAACAAAATAAAGAAAACTTTAAATGATCTACCCGTCATACAAGCCAGACAGATTCTCAGTTCTGCAGTTTATTTAACAAAACTTCATTTATAATCTGTTACATCAAGAGCTGCTGTGCTTGAAGCTGATAATATTTTATAAATCAGACACCAACTGAAACTTATAGGAATAATATGAAAGTGGAGAAACTGATGTTTCAACATGTCTGGAAGAAAAGTTTAAATGTTTAAAGAACCAGAATCTCTGCAGCTTGTTTTATAGACTGAGCTGAACTTCAGACACAGTGATGAGCTGCTGCTGGTTTCTCACAGATACTTTTATGAGCAACATTACAGTCTTTATCAAACCAACATCTCAGATCATGAGTTCCTCCTCTCTCTCCCATCCTCACACAGTCTTCATTTCTCCAGTTATCAGGCTCCTTCAGACTCCAAAAGCTCAAACTAAGAGACAAAGAACAGAAACAGGAAAAGTAAGATCTGTGACTTGGATTCTCAAAATAAACCAAGATGTTTTCACTACAGTCAAACCTTTTATCCAGAGGAGATCCGTCCATCCAGAGCCATTTTCCTTCTGTCTTTGAGTCCGTCAGTCCGATCCAGAACTTGTCCTCATCGTCCTCCATCAAGCCTCTCAGTCTGACCTCCAGGAACATCTGAACAGGAGAATTGATGAAAATGTCTCAGAGATGAAGAATCATGAAGATGAGATGAAATCATAGAGAAGCTGAACCTGCAGCAGAGTTCATACCTGCTCCTCTCTGCTGTCGATCTTCACCAGGTCTGATCCCCGATTAATGCAGAAGCGTCTGCTGTCAGTCCAGGAGGATTTAGTGCTGGAGAAATAATAACAGTTTCCTCCATGTGGCTCCCATCCTGTTTCACACTTCAGACATGTCAGACCTTTAAAGACAAAGACTTTAGTGAACCAGGAGGAATAAATCTCTAGATGTTTGTGTGATCTGGAGACAGCAGGAGGCGTCTTCTGTCCTGCAGCTACAATCTAACTTCCTGTCTCTGTCGGTCCATCAATGTCTCTTTAACATCATTAGAATGAGACAAAGATCAGATCATGGACTTACTTTTTGCTTTAGGAGGTGGAGGACATGTTGGACATGATGGACGTGATGGACATGATGGACATGATGGAGGTTTTGGACATCCTGGAGATGCTGTTGTAAAAGTTGAACTCCCAGGTTTCATATCTTTAAAAGATAAAAGTTGTGATTTCTGAGTGAATTGTTTTTACAGAACAGCTTAATAAAACAAAATGAAACATTAAGAAACAATTATGAAAAGAAAAATATTTTGAGGAAACCTTTAAACTCTGACAGATTTCTCCTCAGAGCTTCATTCTCCTCTTTCAGGGTTTGGAGAGTCTGATTGTTTAGTAGAAAAGCTGATTGGAGATAAAACAGTGAAGCTAAATAAATATAATCATATTCATATGAAACTCACTCTGTATTTTCTGCTGACATCTAATAAACTAAAATTCTGCCAAAGTTAACCAACATGAACTCACAGAGTCTGTAGATGACGATGAAAGCAGCAGCCAGCAGACCGACCAGAACCAGCAGAACCGCTCCCCTGGCTGGCATCTTGCAGGTTCTGCTTGGGTTTTCACCTGAGGAGAACAGAACCAGATCAGAACCTGGAGACAAACTCACAGAAACTAACATCTGATGTCATTAAAATCACTGAGTTTCTGTATTTTCCATTAACGTTGATCTTTTCTCACAACAAAGAGGCTTTTTCAGTGTCGGTGAATTTTGACTTCTCCGAAGCAGCAACTGGGACGATTTGTTCAAAAAATTCATATATGCAGAGAAATGGAAGTAGAGAACACGCCTACGCCCGTCACTAGGGGCAGTGTTATGAGAGGAAGTGAGGTCATCTGTTCCTACTAACTGCTTTCTGCTAAAAATGAGCAATGAGGGAAATAACAGCTTGAAAACCACAAGGACTATTTTCAGTCAGAGTTAAGGCGTTAACATTGGCAGGCCTACAGGCAGACTGGTGATCAATAAACAACCAACCGACCGACCAACCAACCAACCGACCAACCAACCAACCAACCAACCAACCAACCGACCGACCGACCGACCAACCAACCAACCAACCATCAACCAACCAACCAACCATCAACCAACCAACCAACCGACCGACCGACCGACCAGCCAACCAACCAACCATCAACCAACCAACCAACCAACCAACCAACCGACCATCACCAACCGACCGACCGACCGACCGACCGACCGACCAACCATCAACCAACCAACCAACCGACCGACCGACCGACCGACCGACCAACCAACCATCAACCAACCAACCAACCGACCGACCATCAACCAACCAACCAACCATCAACCAACCAACCAACCGACCGACCGACCGACCGACCAACCATCAACCAACCAACCAACCGACCATCAACCAACCAACCAACCATCAACCAACCAACCGACCGACCGACCGACCAACCATCAACCAACCAACCATCAACCAACCAACCAACCGACCGACCGACCGACCGACCGACCGACCAACCACCACCCATCAACCAACCAACCAACCAACCGACCGACCCACCGACCGACCAACCATCAACCAACCAACCAACCAACCAACCGACCATCAACCAACCAACCATCAACCAACCAACCGACCGACCGACCGACCAACCATCAACCAACCAACCATCAACCAACCAACCAACCGACCGACCGACCGACCGACCAACCAACCAACCCATTGACCGACCATCAACCAACCAACCAACCATCAACCAACCAACCAACCAACCAACCAACCGACCGACCGACCGACCGACCAACCGACCAACCAACCATCAACCAACCAACCAACCAACCGACCATCAACCAACCAACCAACCATCAACCAACCAACCAACCAACCAACCGACCATCAACCAACCAACCAACCAACCAACCAACCAACCAACCAATTGACCGACCATCAACCAACCAACCAACCAACCATCAACCAACCAACCAACCAACCAACCAACCGACCGACCGACCGACCGACCAGCCAACCAACCAACCATCAACCAACCAACCAACCAACCGACCATCAACCAACCAACCATCAACCAACCAACCAACCAACCAACCGACCATCAACCAACCAACCAACCATCAACCAACCAACCATCAACCAACCAACCAACCATCAACCAACCGACCATCAACCAACCAACCAACCATCAACCAACCAACCAACCGACCGACCGACCAACTGACCGACCGACCGACCGACCGACCGACCGACCAACCAGCCAACCAACCAACCATCAACCAACCAACCAACCAATTGACCGACCGACCAACCGACCGACCGACCGACCGACCGACCGACCAACCAGCCAACCAACCAACCAATCCTATCCAGAACTTGGATCGGATCGGACTCTGCAGGGCCACAGGGGACCAGTGTCCAACAGCAGTTAAAGATAAACACACAGCTAACTAAGGACAAAACTGAGAACAGTGTTTCAACATTTACTACATTTTAATAAACTGATGTAATTATGAGCAGACACAATAATTAAAACTCGACAATTTTTACTATAACTATGAAGGATAGTTTCATAAAATATGATCATGTTTAGATCAGATCCTGCAGTAAATATAATAATAATAATAATAATAATAATAATAATAATAATAATAATAATAATAATAATAATAATAATAATAATTTGTAAAGCATTTTTAAACAAAGTGCTGAATAGTTTGTATTCAGAAAATCAATAAAATCAGTAAAAAAAGAATCAAACAGAATTTTCTGCGTTTCTCCTCAGATTTCTCCTGGTTTATTGATGTTGTCAAAGAATCAGTTTGTGTTCAGTCTGTTGCTGTTTGTCTGATGAAGAGGACTCACCTCTGACTGCAGCTTCTTCATCTTCCTCTTCATCGCTGTGAGGACGTCTCATCATGGAGACGCTTCACTCTGAGGACAAACAGAGAAATAAACTCATTTCATCTCTAATCTTTCTTCTATTCATCTACGCTTTGCTAAAATGAATCAATCTAAAATGTGAAAAACAAGGAATTACTAAGGATCTATTTTTATAGAGGGAGGTTTTGAATTATTGAACATAGATTTATGACTAACCAAGAATTGTATTTCAATAAATCAAAACGAGATAAAATTAATTCAAACAGAAGATATTAAATTACAGACAACAGTTGGAGAACGGCTGCTTCTATTGAACTGAATGTTTTAAAACAGAAAAATATATTTTTATTAAAATAAAGGAAGAATAAGTTGGAAAAGAAATCAAATATTTTTACTGAGTATTTTTTGGAGGGAAAATCATCTGAATTCACCGCTGGACGTTTCAGACAGAAGATCCCGTCAGCTTCCCGTCAGCTTCCTGTCAGCTTCCTGTCAGCTTCCTGTTTCACAGCTTTATGTTGAAAGAACTTCCTGCTGAGCTTAAAGTCTTAACTGAAGAGGAGGATCCGCTTCTTTCCTCTTTACTTACGTGTTAGTCAGACATTTACACACGTAGTTAAATTAATTTTAGACATATTAATCATTCCGCATCGATCTGAAGTCAGTCTGGATAAAATGTTTTTTGTCTCTGCCTCCTTTTGCTTGATTGAACTTCTAAAAATAACCAGATCTTTATCGGTAACAGTTCCTCTCATTGATTGAACTGATAATTTGTCCCAGTTAGATGTAGATGTATCAAGTTGGAGGTTTTGAATTTCAAATGTTAAAACGTTTACGACCAAGTTCAGCCTCCACCGGCTGCAGATACAAAAACATTCCAGTTTATTGATATGGAAAAGTTGTTCTCTGGCATGAATCTAAAATCCTCCCCACCGTCAGATGGAGGCCTGGCCTGGAGACGATTGGCCCACCAGCCAGGTGTCAAACAAAATGACAGTATTTTCAAAACATCTTCCACCTCACAGAGCAGCTCTCCCCACAACTCCTCCACTCTGCTCCTCCAGACTAGCCAGCAGCAATTAGCAAACATCTGCTGAGCTCATTATAGGAGCCGCTGCTCAGAGCAGCTGGTGAAAACCTTGTTAGAGGGTTTATAGAGGAGCCATGCTGGGATGGCTTCCTGGAGGCGGAGCTTCAGAAAGAGCAGGTTTTAAAGAGACAGAGACCCAATTTCAGGGTGTTTAATTAGGAAGAAAAACATTTCTTTTATATTTGATATGTACAACATTTGATTGTGTTATGAAAATACATAAAACTGCTCCTTTAAAATGTAACATTTAGATTAAATTAGAATTTATGTTGGGACAAACTCAAATATATCTCAGATAGTTATGACATTTGCAGTAATGAACCCTGATGACTTTTCTTTGACTCACGTTCTTTTCCATGCAAATACAGTAGATAAGTTACCTCTGTCTACTAACCATTTAATTTAAAAACATAGTGAGCTGGATAACATTTCACTATGTAGTGAGATTTAGAAACATCCCAAACCTGCTGGCAGCTCCTTCAGTGCCGCAGATGTTTTCTGCTCCATAAATAGTTTCACTTTGCAAACTGTGAGAATCTGAAGTGAACCAGAAAACCGGTGAGTTCATCTGACGCCTTCGACCAGAAACCCATAAACATCTCAGTTCCTGACTGCAGCTCCGTCCTTCAGTCTAAATGTCCAGTCCGATGAACCAGACAGAGATCAGTTTCATGCAGTTTAAAGAGTTTATTCATGACCCTGAGAGCCACATGAACAGCTGCTGCTGTAAGATGATAACATGAAAGCTGGAGCTCTGATGCTGGATCTGATCTTTATTTTTCTACGTGGAAACATGATGAGTCATGCTGCAGAAACCATCATCCATACGACATCATGCAAAGCTTTACACACAACATAAGCTGATGGAACAACAGGAACTACTTTATGTTGGGAGTTTCAGTTCTCGATGTTCAGCAGGTGAACTGTGAACATGAACTGATTCAGTTGTAGCTGCTGTTAACTAGTAGAGATGTTCTGGTTTTCCACATGTCCTGCTCTCTGTGATGGATCGTCAGAAGCTGCAGAGCCTCTGAAATGTTCTGAGCCGAGTCACATGTGGGGTCCAGAACCACCAGAACCAGAAGCAGAAATAAATCCTCTGTTAAACTCTGATGGAAAAGTTCTGCTGCAGGTTCTCCTGAGCTTTTCTCTTGTTGATCTGCTGCTGCTGCTGCTGCTGATTAGAAAATTACTAAAGCTGATAGGAATAATATGAAAATGGAGAAACTGATGTTTCAACATGTCTGGAAGAAAAGTTTAAATGTTTAAAGAACCAGAATCTCTGCAGCTTGTTTTATAGACTGAGCTGAACTTCAGACACAGTGATGAGCTGCTGCTGGTTTCTCACAGATACTTTTATGAGCAACATTACAGTCTTTATCAAACCAACATCTCAGATCATGAGTTCCTCCTCTCTCTCCCATCCTCACACAGTCTTCATTTTTCCAGTTATCAGGCTCATTCTGACTCCAAAAGCTCAAACTAAGAGACAAAGAACAGAAACAGGAAAAGTAAGATCTGTGACTTGGATTCTCAAAATAAACCAAGATGTTTTCACTACAGTCAAACCTTTTATCCAGAGGAGATCCGTCCATCCAGAGCCATTTTCCTTCTGTCTTTGAGTCCGTCAGTCCGATCCAGAACTTGTCCTCATCGTCCTCCATCAAGCCTCTCAGTCTGACCTCCAGGAACATCTGAACAGGAGAAATTGATGAAAATGTCTCAGAGATGAAGAATCATGAAGATGAGATGAAATCATAGAGAAGCTGAACCTGCAGCAGAGTTTCATACCTGCTCCTCTCTGCTGTCGATCTTCACCAGGTCTGATCCCCGATTAATGCAGGAGCGTCTGCTGTCAGTCCAGGAGGATTTAGTGCTGGAGAAATAATAACAGTTTCCTCCATGTGGCTCCCATCCTGCTTCACACTTCAGACATGTCAGACCTTTAAAGACAAAGACTTCAGTGAACCAGGAGGAATAAATCTCTAGATGTTTGTGTGATCTGGAGACAGCAGGAGGCGTCTTCTGTCCTGCAGCTACAATCTAACTTCCTGTCTCTGTCGGTCCATCAATGTCTCTTTAACATCATTAGAATGAGACAAAGATCAGATCATGGACTTACTTTTTGCTTTAGGAGATGGAGGACATGATGGACATGATGGACCTGTTGGACACGCAGGTGTAGAACTTTTATTCCCAGGTTTTATATCTATGTTTAAAAGATGATAAAAGTTATTTTCCAGTGAATTTGTTTGTTTTGCAGAAAAACTGATGAGAACAAAAATGAAACATTGAGAATCAATCCTCTGATCCCCACAGATTAAATACAATCTGTGAACTATCTACAGTTTAAATAAACTAAACTAAATGTAAGTCTGAGCCTTGAGGGAAACATTCAAACTCACCTGAAATATTTTTCCTCACAGTTTCTTTCAGGGATTGGAGAGTCTGATTGGTCTGAATGTCTGATCAATGAAAAATCATGAGTGAACAATATTTATAAAAACTTTACATGTTTCTTCTCAACATGAAGATCATGAAAGTTAAAAAATCAGAAAAAGATTGAACAGGTCTGGCTTGTAGAAACGATGATCTTTATAAAGAAAGGTGGCAGCAAATCTTCAACAAAGTAGCTGAAAAAGCTGGTCTAGTCAAAGTACAGCCCTAAAACTGATCTATAGTCTGTCCTGGGATCAGA